CGGTTACAAGGGAAGGTGAAGGAGCTGGAGCAGCGTGAGAAGGATGCGGCTGCTGAGCTGGATGCCAAGTCAACGCAGCTGAAGGAGAGTGCTGACGTGGAGGCCCGGCTGCGTGCTGAGCTGGCAGATGCTCAGGGTGCGCTGGCGAAGGTTGAGAGTGATGTGGCATCCCTGCAGGCTGAGCTGGCAGGAGAGAAGAGCACAGTGCAGAAAAAGGAGGAGGAAATCCAATCTCTGCATGCTGACGTGGAATCAACCAATGCCAGCCTGGCAGCCGCCCACGAGTCCCTCGAGTCGCTCCGAAACGACCTGGCCTCTGCTCGGGAGGAAGTTTCCCAGAAGCAGCAGGCTGTAACCCAGCTCGAACTCGACGCCGAGACTCTCAAAGGCGCCGTCCGGGCAGCTGAACGGGCAGCCGAAGAAGCCCGCAGCGAACTCTCCGCCGTCCAGAAATCCCTCGCGGATCTCCAGCAGGTAGCAGACGACGCCGAGGCCGGAAAGCGGGCGGCGGAAGACGCCTTGGAGCGGGAGCAGCGGGCGGCAAGCGCCGCCGTCCAGGAGCTGCAGATGCATTTGGCAGCATTAGGGCGGGAGAGGGAGGTGGTGGGGCGGCTGAAGAAGGGCGTGGAGGAGGCGGGCAGGGTGGTGGACGCGCTTCAGGGGGAGACTGAGGCGCTCAGGGCGGAACTGGGGGAGGTGCAGAGGCGGGAGAGGGAGGGGGAGGAGGCACGTCGAGGAATGGAGGTGCGTGCGGGGTGATGTGGGGTGGGGTGGGTGGGGTGTGGGGGTGGGGGGTTGATGTTTGGGGGTGCGGTGGGCGTGGAGGTGGGGTGGTGGGGTGGTGTGTAAGGATGGGCTAGGGGGTGGTGTGTAAGGATGGGCTAGGGGTGGTGTGTAAGGATGGGCTAGGGGGTGGTGTGTAAGGATGGGCTAGGGGGTGGTGTGTAAGGATGGGCTAGGGGGTGGTGTGTAAGGATGGGCTAGGGGGTGGTGTGTAAGGATGGGCTAGGGGGTGGTGTGTAAGGATGGGCTAGGGGGTGGTGTGCAAGGATGGGCTAGGGGGTGGTGTCTGGTGTGTGGGTCGGGTGACAAGCAGGACACTTCCCGTCACTTCCTGACAAGCAGGATACCATCTATCTCGTCACTTCCCTCTTGCGTATCCTCTCGGCAATCTTCTCCCTTTTCCCTTTCATTTCCCCCCACTTCCACTACCTACCCCTCCCCAGACCGTTTGTTTTGTTTTTCTTCCGCATCCCCCCCACCCAACCCAAAACCTTTGTTGGACCTCATTCCTTATCCTTGTTCAACAATCTCCCCTCCGCTCCCTTCCCTTCCCTCCACCCCCCCTCGCTTCCACTCCACCCACCTCCCCCCTCCGCCCTTCCCCCCCAACTTCTTTTCTCCTTTTCCTGAGCATCATTCGGCTTATATTGCCAGTCCCAGCTGGCATCTCTCCTTCCTCTTCGCTGAGCTGGCTCTATCGCAGCTGTCGGTCACTCCCCTTCCCTTCACTGTTTCTCTACCCCTTTCCCTTCGCATCCCTCCATCCCTCCACTCCCAGCTGTCACCGCTCTCTGCTGGGTTGCTCTCACCCTCTTTCTCTTCAGTCTTTCTATTTCTCTCATCCCTAAGCACCGTTCCTCCCTCCCTCCATCTCTCCCTCCCTCCATCCCTCCCTCCATCTCTCCCTCCCTCCATCCCTCCCTCCATCCCTCCATCCCTCCCTCCATCCCTCCCTCCATCCCTCCATCCCTCCGTCCATCCCTCCATCCCCTCCCTCCATCCCTCCAGTCCCAGCTCTCATCGCTCTCCGCTGAGCTGGTGGCCGCGCGGGACGAGGCTGCCAGGCTGGCGGCGGACAAGGAGGCTGCTGATGTCAGCAGGGCGTCAGCAGAGCAGAAGGCGCAGGAGGTGCAGCAACAGCTGGACAGCACGTTCGATGAGGTCTCACGGCTCAAGGGACAGGTGTGCTGCTTGGATATGGGGTTAAATGGGATGGTGGGTGGTTGGCTGTGTGAATGGGGAGTGCAGGAGGTGCAGCAGCAGCTGGACAGCACGTTTGATGAGGTCTCAAGGCTCAAGGGACAGGTGGGTGGATATGGGGAAGTGGGTCTACTGGAAGGGAGTGGCCAATGGCTAAAGAGGGTATGCAGTGGCGGCAGCAGCAGCAGCAGCTGGACAGCACGATGGATGAAGTCTCACGGCTCAAGGGACAGCTGGGTGATGGAGAGAGAGGGGATTGCAAAGGATTGGTGAATGGCTCAGGGGCATGGCAGGTGTAAGGAAGGGAGACTGGCTGACTTGACAGCTTCAAACAGGAGAGGATGACATTTAGACGCAGAATGTGAGGGAGGCTACTGAAACACATGTTTGTCCGTACACCTATCTCCCCCGTGATTCCCTTGTTCCCCTGCTTCCCTTGTGCTCCCTGTGCCCCCTCCCCATTCCCCCCACCCCGCCCCCACTCCAGGTGACACAAATGACCCGTGAGCTAGAGGCCGGGGAGAAGAAGTTTGAGGCGATGCTGGAAGTGATGGTGGATGGGATGACAGCAAATCTATGTTGCACCCTCTGTGTTTCCCCCCCTCCTCCCCTTTTTTCCGCTCTCCAGGTAACACAGATGACCCGTGAGTTGGAAGCAGGGGAGAAGAAGTTTGAGGCGATGCTGGAGGTGAGGGCGGAGGCAGCCATGCTGGTGGAGGCCTTGGAGGACCAGGCGTATGCCGAGGCCAAGGAGAACAAGAAGCTGAAGAAGCGGGTGAGTGGTGGTGGCTGTCAACAGTGAGTGCAGGGCGCACTTTGGGTGGTTCTGTTGGGTAGGCAGTGAGTGACATGGGTGGTCGTGCTGGTGGAGGCTCTGGAGGACCAGGTGTATGCTGAGGCCGAGAACAAGAAGGTCAAGGAGCGAGTGAGAGCATGCCTTCATGGGTGAGGGAGGGTGGTGATGCGTGTGATGGGGAGCGGAGACGGTGACGTGGGCAGCCATGCTGCTGGAGGCGTTGGAGGACCAGGTGTATGCTGAGGCCATTTTTGAGACGTCTGAAAAAGGACCAGGTGTATGCTGAGGCCAAGGAGAACAAGAAGGTCAAGAAGTGGGTGAGTGGCGGTATGCCTTCACGTGTGAGGGTGGGTGGTGATATGTGTGAAGGGGAGAGGGGAGGCCCTGGAGGATCAGGTGTCTACCAAGACCAAGTTGAACAAGAAGCTAAAGAAGCGGGTGAGCGGTGACACGCCCTAACGGGTGTATGGTGATATGTGAGAAGGGGAGAGGTGCGGGTGATATGTGAGAAGGGGAGAGGTGCGGGTGATTTGGGCAGCCATGCTGGTGGAGGCGCTGGTGAGTGCAGTCTATAAAGGGTGAGTTCAGTGCACGAAGCCAAAGCGGCTGCACAGTGAAGGATTGCGCCCTGTGTGTGCTGCTCCAGTGCTCTGGAGGCACTGGAGTGGAGGACCGGCGTATGCCGGGGCTAAGCAGAACAAGAAGCTCCAGAAGAGAGTGAGAGTGATGGTGGCTGTCAATAGTGAGTGCAGGTAACTCCTTGGGTGGTCGTGTGCTGGGTAGGCAGTGACTTGGGTGGTCATGTGCTGGGTAGGCAGTGACTTGGGTGGTCGTGTGCTGGGTAGGCAGTGACTTGGGTGGTCGTGTGCTGGGTAGGCAGTGACTTGGGTGGTCATGTGCTGGGTAGGCAGTGACTTGGGTGGTCGTGTGCTGGGTAGGCAGTGACTTGGGTGGTCGTGTGCTGGGTAGGCAGTGACTTGGGTGGTCATGTGCTGGGTAGGCAGTGACTTGGGTGCTCATGTGCTGGGTAGGCAGTGACTTGGGTGGTCATGTGCTGGGTAGGCAGTGATTTGGGTGGTCGTGTGCTGGGTAGGCAGTGACTTGGGTGGTCGTGTGCTGGGTAGGCAGTGACTTGGGTGGTCGTGTGCTGGGTAGGCAGTGACGTGGGTGGTCGTGTGCTGGGTAGGCAGTGACTTGGGTGGTCGTGTGCTGGGTAGGCAGTGACTAGGGTGGTCATGTGCTGGGTAGGCAGTGACTTGGGTGGTCGTGTGCTGGGTAGGCAGTGACTTGGGTGGTTGTGTGCTGGGTAGGCAGTGACTTGGGTGGTCATGTGCTGGGTAGGCAGTGACTTGGGTGGTCGTGTGCTGGGTAGGCAGTGACTTGGGTGGTCGTGACTGTGATGCTTCTCATGCTTGTACTATTTTTCTAATCCTGACTCACTCCGTCGCAATCTCCCTGTCGCCTGTCAGAATGCTGAGCTGGAAGAGTCCAGCAAGACGGCAGCAGCGGTGGCGGAGGAGCTGGAGACGGTGCGGGCTCAGCTGAATGCCGTACAGCAGGGCCGCATGGTGGGATCGAAGAGCGAACAGGGGGACGCGCAGGCCTGAGTGGCAAGTGGGATATTAGGTTCTTGATAAAATAGTTGACTGTCCTAATATCGGTGTAGGATAGATTGAGGTGACATACCGTACATGCTCGTAATACAGTACTTTCCCTAACAAGTTAGCGTACTGCTTCTGTGACAAACCTCTGTTGCACTTGTACCTCAATCTATATCTGCATGTGAACATTGGACTGGCAAAAAAGGAAATCAGAAAATGTTTCTGAAAATATTTCTGAATATATTAGCTTTCCAAGCATGTTTTTGGAGAACAAAACACACTTTACATGCTTCACATTATTATTAAGCATTATCAGCTTCAGCTCTACACTACAGTAACGCGTGACAATTGCTATCGCAGACGCTGACAGCCGCCTCGTTCAGGTTTGTGAAGGGGGATTTTCGCCGCCTCGTTTCAGGGTCTCTGCTGGTTCTTTCTGGCCTGGACGCCCTCGCAACTAGTAAAAGGCTTCTGGAATACCTGTGGAAATCGCAAATGCTGTAGTAGACTGTTTGAACTGACAGAAATTTGTCGATAGAGTTAGCGACAGAATGGCTTTGACTGGAATTAAGGCTGTGAAGAATCCTGTCCGTGTTGTTCTGCAACGGATTGCACAATTGATGTTCGTCGTGATTGGAGTGAGCATCTGGCTTTTGTCTACCCCGTAGCCGCATTCCACCGTAATGAGTAATGGTTGTCACCACGCTTTTCAGATTTCAGGAATTCTTATGATCGCAATGATCCTCGCGTTCCAACAAAAGCCGAACTTCGCTCCTGGATGGTATGCATTTTGAACTTGGAGAATGGATACGCCACCCTCGGGAATGACAAACCTTCCATTTCTGCAGGTGTATTATCGTCCTTGGTGTCTTGACTGTTGGAGCTTCTGTTTTGGGATTCGCGGGCTTCCTTAACTCTGGCTGCTTCATCTGTCACTCAGCGATTCTATCTTTGGCAGCAGTCGGCTGTGGTGCATTCACCCTGGCATTGTTTGTTTCTGTAAGTTCGACACAGCGACCATTAATGAAGTCTGGAAACCTAATATGTAATTATTTTGGCAGAAGCCGGCCATTGCAAGGACCGTCAACTCACGTCAGTGGAACGACGAAAAGGTAAACTACATTTCGATGCAGAAAGAGATTGGCCCACTCCGTAATGCCATCTATGTTCACAGGTTTGGGCTTTCTTAACCAAGATCCAGTGGGTCTTCTTATCGGTCTTTATTTTGGAGGTGAGTCCCCATGGCGTACAAAGGTATTTCTTAATAGGTCACTACGGTACCATGCAGTGTTCCGAATGTTGACATGTTGATGGCATTCTTTCAAAATGATGTGTGCAGGTGTTGGCCCTCGTAGTCTCAGCAGTTACACACGCATGCATTCCCGTGGAAATCTATGAGGTAGGAGCAAGGCATGAGTACTACCGTACGTTATGTTGTAGCATGCCCCCCCTGTCTGGCCAGCATCACCCAATCTGCTTGTACAGAGCCTTGAGGAGCAACAGCGACAACGGGACACAGAAATGCATAAGCTGAAGAAGACAGTGTAAGCCTCTTCCATCTCCACAAAGAAAGTATCGGTGTTTAAGTTTTGCACCTAACGTTCAACCCGTCTATGTATTCCAGGGAGCAGCAGAAAACGAGAACGGAGAACACAACGGCGGCATCGCTTGCAAACAAGATGCGGTCAAAATATGGAAAGTGAGTTTCAAACAGACCAACCAGTTTCTGCTCTGCACTATGCATGTCACTGAGAGTCTGAAAATCACAGGTGGACAGATGAAGACTTTGGTGAAGGCAGGTCGATCTGGTAGCTCCAAAGCCACGTTATACTATGATGTCATCACATCTGGCTTTGCATGTTTCGTGAATCCTGCACAGAGAATTGAATTTGTTGGTATTGTTGAAAGGGACAGCCAGAAAGTTTAGTACCATACAATACAAGCTGTTTACAATCTATAATTGAAATCTACAAAGCTAATCCAAACTCATGGTTCTCTGCAAAATCAAATCAAGTTTGTCTTGTACCTAGTTCTACCCAATATGTAATCTGCCAGCTATTACTTTGATCCACTAGGTGTCAGTAGCTTCCATGCTGCTGACATGAGGGACCTCCTCTGGGACCTCTTGGGCAATGCCGATGGATCTTGGTCCGCTGGTGGAGCTGACTCTGATAGGGGTAAGGGGACTACAGCAGCCAGAGAACGAATACTCTCATGGCCAAGTGGGCTAAGCCTATAAAGGCTGGATGTGGCATTGAGGGGGTTTGATGGAGCTGCAGAGCTGCATGCCTCCAGCAGCTGTGTTGTGCTATCAGCCATGTTGTGAGCTGTGCGGTTGGCTTCCTCCAAAGCACTCCTTATGTGAGGGTCACGGTCAAAGTTGAACCGGAGCATCAGTGACGACAGAAGGGAGTGGATGCTCGAGGCATACGCTTGATGCTGTTGTGTTGGGGAAGGGGTGGAAGATGAGTTGTTTAGGTCGTGGATCGAATCAATTTCAACAAGGAACTGAATACAGAGCCATGAATGGACAGGTAATGAGGATAAGCGAAACAATCACCCGGACAGCTTCAAGCCTTCGTTGCGATTGAAGCTTTGCCAGTTTTTCAGCCAGAGATGCCTTCTCGAGTGCCTCCTGGAGAATCAGACAAATCACAGGTCATGAGTCAGCGTTAATTTAAAATAATAAGCAATATGTGGAACACTAGATTTCAGGCCTTGAACGTGCAAGCATGCAAACATCTCAGTGTAGCTTACCCGATGTAGCTGCTGTTGCATGAGATGCACGGTCGACTGAAGCGTCTTTACCGACCCCTGCAAGGGATAACGAGGGGTAGGGAGGGGTACAGTTAGGCAACATTACACATCGTGTACGCAGTGCACGCAACAACACCAAGCACGGCACTGAAACGCTCGAAACCACCACACAGAAACCCATCACGAAGCGGACAATCGACCACTCACCAGCGCGTGCGATAGCAGCATCGTATCCAGGCTCGTGTGCTGCAGCGCCTCGCGGAACTGCTCCTGCTCCCGCACCGCGTCCGCCATCTCCAGCACCATGCGCTCCACCGCGCTCGCCAGCTGCCCGCGCTCTGCCTCCACCTTCGCCAGCCGCAGCTTCGTCTGCTCCAGCTCCTTCGCCAATTCAGATTCCGTGGATTCCGCCCCCGACTGCGCCGCACCCGCGCTGAGCCTGCGCACTCCCGCCAGCTCGCCCCGCGCCTGCTGGAGGGCCTCGTGCAGACGCTCCACCTCCTCGCTCAGGCGCTCGCACTCCTTCTCCCACGCTTCCGCCTGCGCCTTATCCTTCCGCCACTCCCGCTCTTTCTCCGCCTCCCGCTTCTGCTCCTGCTCCCTCTCCTCCTCCAGTTCCTTCTGTAGCTCCAGTTGCCTCATTCTCTCTCGTTCCTGCTCCCTCCTCCGCTCCACCTCCCGTCGCATTTCCTTCCCCCTCTCGTCTGCCCGCTCCTTCTCCCTCTCCCGCTGCTCAACCCGCTCCATCTCCCTCGTCCGTTCCCTCTCTTTCCGCTCCGCCCGGTCGCTCTCCCGTTTCGCGGCGTTGGCTTTTTCTAGAAGCCGTCGCCTTTCCCCGCTCTCCGTAGGTTTCCCGTGCGACCATTCCCTCCGCGCCTCCGCCTGAAGGGGAATCTGCTCCCGACGACCGATCTCAGCCGCGCGCTTTTCTTCTATACGTCGCTTCTCCCCAGCAACAACCGCCCCCATCTTCCCCATTTCCCGCGCTAGCTGCCTCTTCCGCTCCTCCCGCAGAAAGTCCCGCTTCGCCTCCCACTCCCGCGCCTTTGCCCGGTCGTCCTCCCCCCGTTCCCGCCGCAAAGCTTCCGCTCCTTCCATAACCTCCCCGCCCCGCAATTCCCTTCGATACTCCATCTCCCACGTGCTCTCTCTCTCCTTCTCCAAAGCCAGCGCTATCAGCGCGCTTGCGCCGCTGCCCTCCCACTCCGCAGGTTCCCCATCCGCGATCCCCGCGCGACGGGGGCCGCGCTCCGCCGACTGCGGACGGCCTTCCGCCGACCGCCGGAACGACCCCTCTCCGCTCCCCCCGCGCTGGACACGCTCCGCGGAGAGTGCACGGCTCCGCCGCGGTAACGCGCGCTCCACGCTCGCCCCGCTTTTGCCGGCTCGGTCTGCCGTAGCGAGCGACTCGCCTAAATCACTGATCGCAGTTGAGTCGCGCGGAGGCGACGGCGGCGATTCGAATACAGCAGCGCGATCTTTCTCTTTCTTCGCGCCTGCGGCGCTCTTCGCAACAGCGGCGTTTCTCGCTGCTAGCTCTAGCAGCGCGTCGCGCTCCTCCACAACGAGCTTGAGACACTTCTCGAGGCTCCGCTTCTCCTCGCGTACTATCTCCAGCTCGCCAAGTGCTGTCCTGCTACTAATTTCCTCTGGCCTGGCGACTGTAGCCCTGCTTGTCCCCACTAGCCCGTCGACCTTAGTCTGCGAGCGATTGGGCTGCTTCTGCTGCTGTTGCTGCTTCGCGCGCGTCTCTATCACGTGATTCCCCGTCCGCATATTCCCGCGGCGCTCTCTAGCGCGGATAAGCGCCGGGGCTAACAGCTAAGAAGCCGATATACGGCAGAGCAGGCATCGAGTGACGCATGAGCTTTAAACTTCTACTATGCCATATTCCACTACGAATAATCTACCGACGAGCAACTAAAACTCGACAGACGCGAAGCGGCTGTTAGACATGGCATATCTGATCGACCTCTAGCGCTCTACCACTAGCGCCTTGAGATCTAGTGTGTGAATTGCCGCCTTTGTGCTGTGACTGCCAAGCCAAGCCATTGAATCGAACATGCTGGTCGAGAAAGAAAGAGAGTGCGCGAAATGATATTATGTAAGCCGTGTGAACCTCATCGTGACTCCTAACCGACAAACGTTAATCCAGGTGATCGTTTCCCGTCCGTCCTCTTCTGGTCTCCCGACTGGGACCACGGCTATGGCAAAGTGAAGTAACCACCAGCATGTGTAGTGTTTGCGCGAGGCGGTGGGTGGATGGCATGCTGTAACCCTCAATATAACCACACGTAACGCAGGAGAAATCTTATTTGTACTTGTTCGCACTTCGGTAATGTGCCATCCAGCAGAGCTTTTTTCCGAGTCAACACAAAAGCCTTTCTCCTTGGCCGCAGTCGACGGAAACAACACGGCCACTAAATGTACACTGGTAGCCAATTCCGTACAGTCGATGCTCAGCCTATCACAAAACAATTTGCTTTCACAGTTAGAAATTTAGTCACTCGCGAACGTTTTGCCCGTGAGTGACTAAATTGACCATTGTGCCGATTTCGGGGTACAGTCACCAAGTTGCGGAAGAAAAACATATACAAATCATAAACAGCAACGGTTGCCAGTCATAAAAAAAGTTTACCTGGTTACAAAATTAAAGCCCTTAATTCAATTCACAACGCAATTTCATATTAGTCACATTTTTGCCCGTGGCGACAAGGGCGAACGTGGCGAGATAAACGAAACACGTTTCACTCACATACCGCCCGCCTACCTGGTGTTCTTGAAATGAGCACCGACTGTACCGCACAGCAAGTTCTCATCCCATGCCTCCATGGTGTAGGCTCAAGGCGGAGAAGGCAAGTGGCGAATCACCAGTGACAAAGGTGGAAGAAATGCCAAGCCTAACATTGAGTTTTACTGTACAATTGATGCCTGTTTGAGCCCCTCCCGGTTGCCTTGTGAAGAGGGCGTATAAGCTGTAACGATTTGTTCGCATACGCTTCGTCAATTCGCAGCTAGCTAAAAAGGACTCGCAGGTGCTTATAAACAAGATCTGTTACCATATTTGACTTCAGTCTCTTCTGCTTGACCTCAGTCTGTTCGTTACTATTGGTTGATAACCACGCGACGCGCTTATAACATGGGAGCAACAGGCTGGGGAAACAACCTCGGGTGCAGCGTTTCCATCCGGCACAAGGCAAATCCACGTGCACTGGTTGGGCATCAATTGTACGTTGGAAAAATGTGATTCGACACAATGCACGACGCGGGCTTAGGTGTGGGGCTGCTTGAGCGGCACACTTGTGTAAAAGCGACGCGGAGCTGCTTTATTCGGGGAAGGCGTACCGAAAAAGACCAAGAGGGGCCCCACCGGACCACCTACAGCAGGCAGAGACAGTTTGAAGCCGTTCCAATCACAGACGGACCGCTATTGGTTTGGAAGGACTAATGTCGAGCGTGATTTTACGCCGAATCATGTCAGTGCGTGTTTCGTGCATTTTCAAGGACCAAGAGGTTGTATCGTATATTCACAGATATTGATAATTACTACATGTTATGTTTAAACTCCTTAAATGTTCTACCTACTCCTAATTGTTGCGAATAGCAATGAATGAAGATTACAGTGCACTCCCGACCGCAGCTAAAGAAGCATGCAGTATCGAAAACGAATGCGAAGAGTCAGAATTGACTCGAAGCGTCAGACCGTTGGAATGCATCTGGACCGTCGGAGCAGACGGCATCGGGGAGCTGCAGGCACGAGGGTTCTGGCGGGAACAGTTTCGTAACTGTACGCACCGCACGGTTGGGAATGAATTTGAATAAGGGAATGTACCCTTTAGAGTACATGGCTAGCTAGGTCGATTCGTATTCCCCTGTACTCTTATTTATATCGTTGTATTTGCATGTTTTTATCATCTCAAGCATTTTACATTCACTTTGCTATTGAGGTCAAGGGCCCACCTAGTCTACCTACCTGCGTGCGAACCTTCATGAGGAGATCCTGGCAGCGATCATCTTCTGATCGCAGCATGGTATGAGAGCAACTCATGAATCCTTCGCACTGCCATCTCCGAAATCTGCGACATTCGGAAAGTGGCGTCCGGCACACGATCGCAAGTAAGAATGGTCGGAGGATCTAGAGGTCAGACGAATCTGACGGCTGAAGCGCAGCCAAACCCGGCTGCGACAAGCGAGGAAACGACGACAATCCCTTCCGCCGTCCTCGCACAACTGCTTCAGCGACTCACGAGTCTGGAGCAAGAGCTCCAAACATTGCGGAATGGCGACGCGGGAAATTTATCCCAACCCACTCAACCGGCCTCAAACGGCCAAAACTCCGCCCCGCAAGGCTTCTCTCTTGACACAAATGGCTCAACTCCCAAGACTCCCTGTCCCAGCAATGAAGCAATTCTCTCTGCGCAATCAAGGTTTCCGAGCACATAAAAAATAAGGACAAGTGTGTACTTTGACGGCAGAGACTTCTATACTTGGAGCTTCGAGCTGGAGCTGCTGCTGCAAAACGCGCAGATTTTTCACTATTTCGACGGAAGCTACTCGGGACCTCCGGAGGATACTGACGACGCACGAACCAAGTATTACAACGGATCTCTGATGGCGTACGGGGTTCTTGAGAAGATAACTGCTACAACGGGAGCTAGACTACGGGCTTGGCACGTGTGCTCGTGTGATCTCTACGTTCGTTCGTTCCTTAGTCGTTTGCTTGTGTGTTCTCTGCTTGCACATTCACGGGGAGATTTTGCAAGAGTTTCACTAGCAAAGATAGACAACAATGTGTGCAAGAACATTGGCAACACAGACTACATCAGAGCTAGCTAGGCTGTTGGTCGACCTCCAGCGCAGCACGGTCGACCACGCTCTAGCGCAGCAGAGCTCGCACCGCTCCAGCGTTGCAGAGTAGCGGCACGCCAACGTTGCACGTCCACGGTGTGCCAACGCTGCAGCAAGTCGGCTGCACAGCGTTGCACCCGCAGAACAACGGTGCACCTGCTTCGCAGGTGTGTGCAGCTGGTTGGTGCGCACTTCCTTGTCACGCGCACAGCGCAAACGTCTGGCAAACTCCACACCAGCGACTGCGCCCACCAGCCACGTCGACCTCGGGATACCACCCCGAGATCGGCCTCGCAAACTCCACCCCGGCAACATTCGCGCACGTCGCCTGAGTATCCCGGTCGACCGGGCAACCACGCCCGGTCAACCAGCACAGTCCGTAGCCGGCCACCAGTGCCCGGCGTCCCAGTCCAGCGTCCAGGCGCCTAGGACGCCGTCTGAACCCCCAGGTCGGCATCCAGACGCCCAGGACGCCGTGCAGACCTCCAGAGCAGCGTCCGCCCTCCCAGGACGCCGACCAGACGCCCAGGTCGGCGTCCCAGGCTCCTAGGACGCCGTGCAGGCGCCCACTACGCCGACCAGGCGCCTGGGTAGTCGTGCCGACGCCCAGGCCGGCGTACAGCTTCCCAGGACGCCGTCCAAGCGTCCAGGACGCCAACCAGGCGTCCAGGACGGCGTCCTCCTGCTCGGCGCCCTCCAGCTAGGCGCCCTCCAGCTCGGCGCCCTTGCAGTGGCCCCTGTGCCCATTGCTGCAGGCCGGCTGCAACCCCCGTACATCCGACCACGAGGTCGGCTCCGCCCAAGCGAGGACGGGGCCAAACAACACTCCCGTTGATAGTTCTTCTGCGGAATATGTCGCCGACGGAGCAATTGAGCATTCGCTCATACAAAACCTCGTCTGCTCCAGCCCTGAACGCATGGCGTCACCTGAAGGGTGTGTATTAACCAAAGGATTCACTGTCGTCGAGCCGCCTACTCCAGCAGCTACTGGAGACAAAGATGGCACCAGGAGAGAAGGCCAATAGCTACCTGAATCGCTGGGACATGTAGAGCACCCGGTCGAGCTTGCTCTGCAGGAAGGCGTTCTTCATGTCGAGCTGCATCAGGTTGAGGTTGAGGACGGCGACGATGCTGACGAAGATCCTCAGCGTGACGTAGCTGCCCACCAGCGCGAACGTCTCATCGTAGTCGGCGCCGTACACCTGCGTGAAGCCCTTTACGACCAGCCTCGCCTTCTCGCGCTTGACGGTGTCGTCGATGTGGTACTTCGTTGTCAACACCCACCGGTTCTTCATGACGTTCACCCCCGGCGGGCGTTCGACCAGCTCCCAAGTGCCCATGTTGATGAGGCTGTGAATCTCCTCCTCCATGGCGGCCTTCACCGCCGGGCCCTTCTAGCTCGCCAACGCCTCCTTCACCGTCATCGTCGAGATGTCCCAACGGTGCTCGGGGTCAGCCAGCATGTCGGGGTCGAGTTCCGGAAACTCCTTGTCATTCTCGGCGTCATCGTAAAGCAGGTCATCATCCTCCACGTCATACTCTGCGGTGAAGGCAGCGGGGACGAAGAAGTCCGGCGGTCTCCGAAGACTCTCCGACTTCCGGGGTTCAGGCCGAACCTTCACCGCGTCGCTGTCGGTGGACTTCTCCCCTTCGCTACTGGCTTCGCTGCCTTCGTCGTCCTGCTGCACCTCAGTCGGCGTCCCAGCCGACTGCTCCCCTGCGTTCAGCTCCTCTGCCGGCTGCCCAGTCGCCGACTACTCATTGGTAGGCATCACTGCTGCCTGCTCCCCTGTCAGCTGCTGTTCCGCAGGCGTCTCCTTCACCGGCTTCACCAAAGTTGGCGGCACCACCTGCTGCCTCCTAGTCGGCGTCAGCTTCGCTCCCACGCCGCTTTGCACCACATCACATCGGCCACCGGCAGCATCACG